AAAAAAAAAAAAAAAAATAAAATAAAAATCATAGTCACAGGTATATGCAACGTGGATAAGATTATAACCATCGATCTAGCTTGGTATAGTGCAGGGAGAGCCGGGGAACAAAAAATAAGTGGCGCATGTCGCGATAAGAAGACACACGGAAAAACCCCTGTGCCCTTCAAATCAAAGCGAGCCGATCTTCCTTTTTTTTTTTTTTTTTATTTTTTTTTATTACACATAATTACCTTTACTTGGCCCTACACTGGCACTGCTTTACCGCAAATTACTTTGACGTAATGCAAGCCGAGACGCTTCCGCCAAATCATGTAATATGCAAGCTCGATAACGCACGATAGCTCTACGGTCCTGCATTTTTTATAAGTATACTAAGGTGCTCTGTTGGTGAGATCAACTTTTCATTCTTAGATGAAATAAATTCTTTCACAATTCAAATGAATTAAATTGTAAAAAAAAAAAAAAAAATCAATTTCAACCGGAGGAATAATTTACAATTCGATTTATAATTTTATAATGATAAAATTGCAATTTTCGTGATTGTTGGCTAGTTTCTGGGGAATGCGAACATTTTAATCTGCCATGAATCATGTAACAAGTAATTACAACTAATTTTGGTTCTTTTTTTCTGCAATAATTGTATTTGTTTGGATGAATAAATTTATCAAATCATTTCTTTTTTGGGCGATGAAACTGAAGGCTGTTCCACGTATAGAAGTATCATTTGTACGAGCTGGTCAATCAACAATATGTCAGGCTGCCGTACTGCTTTTCAAGTGACAATTTTTTTTTTTTTTTTTTTTTTTTTTTTTTTTTTTTTTTAATTTCATGTAATTTTATTTCTGAAATTGAGTTCACTATTGTTTTCGGCAACGTGCTCTTGATCCCGCAAATTTTTCTCGTATTTCCATTCGACACGTGGTCCGAAGGAGTCGGGTATTATTTTTACTGCTTCTGTGACAGTGTAACCGAGAGGGACATTGTTTCCGTGATCCGTACGTGTAAAAATAATTATGGAGTTTCCCGTAAGTGATAGTTTATTGAGAACATAGTTATATATTTACACATTACCTGCGGAAAGTTGGATTTCAACTATTCTGGATTGCCGATTTTTTTTTTTTTTTTTTTTTTTTCATGCATCTATTCTCAAGTTGATTAGGTTGTCAAATTGAAAAAATGATTTTGAAGTTTTGAATAATTTCATTAGATTTATCATAATTTTCTTACTATCATATATTACATAGATCAAAGTACCTAATTTTGTTTNAATTCTTTGAATGAAAATTATTAAAATAAATTAAAATGGTATTTAAAATATATGTTAACCAGTAGTAGATAATTGTTGAGAAAATTGTCTGCTGTAGATACGTGGATAATCTAAAGAAAATAAAAATATGGCCGAATTATAAAAAATGAGTTTATTCAATTTGATAATTTACATTAATTACATTGATCTCTTAACTACAAATAAACATTAACCACGAAATCATTGATTACCAATCAGAGATTTCTTCAATTATTGATTCAGATAACTCAATATCGATTGGTTTTTTTACTTTTGGATTTATATATCTTTCATACCATTCCACTTCAGCAAGAGCGAAATTTCTTTGTCTAAATGTACACAATTTATGATTAATTAAGATTTTTATTGTCAATGCAAATTAAAGTAATTTAACTTACAAGTTATTTATTGAGTTTGCGGGCTTTCGAACAGGATTCCAGTTAGGAACAGGTTTGTCGATAGCAATCATCACTCCTCTAACGCAATGAGAAAGTGCCAACTTAGTCATGTGATGATTCTTGTAAAAATAATTTATTTAACTATTATTTGATGAAAAATTTTAGTAAACATGAATGTACATAAATTCACGAGTCCTTACCCTCCATTCTGAATTGAAGACATCAGCTAAACTTATAACATCAATGGCCATAGCTGCACCATCAACATTGCAGCCCAAAGTATTTAGATAATTTTCGTGTACAAAGTTTATAAATGTGTTGGCTTGTGTTTGAAAGCATGATGCCAATTCATCAGGATTGTGAACAAATTGTAAAAACTTTTTTTCTGCTACTTCTGTTTAGTGAATAAAATATTTTTTTGATAAGTATGCAAATTTAGAATCAGCAACTGTACATAATTAACAAAAACGTTACTTTTTGGATTAATAACGCGACCAATAGCATGAAGAAGGCCAAGAGTTTCTTCTCTTACAGTACATTCGCTTTCATGTGTGTGCTGAACTTCAATTATAAGTTAACATTAACAAATGGTTTTTTTTATTGTTTTAATAAGAAAATTTAATAATTAAAACAAATTACCTTTTAAGGAACAAAATATCAAATTTAAAAGAGCACTTCTAACATCACCAATGTTATTTGACAACACTTCATCTATTTGTTGCTGTGTAACACGTAAAATGTCTTTAGCTTTAGAATTTAAGGTGGTTGACACCCTTTTCATTACATTTTTCAAAGCTGTTGGTGTGCAAGCATTGATACTGTAAAATGGATAAATGATAATATTGTAGTTTATAAACACATCGTAAATGCAAACGATTTTTGCGGTAACTCACTTGATTAAGTCAATTTTAAAATAATCACGATTACTTTGAGAGAACAAAGTCATCATTAGCTTTGAACTTCCAGTATCTGTATTTATGAATACCAGTGGTTCTCTTCCATACTGGCAATACTTTCTGCAATTCAAATCACACAATTAACAGTAAATCAATTTTTTTTCTTTTATAATGATCACTTACCTTAACAAACCTGCAAAGTCGTCTTTTCCTTCTATGTAACAATTAGGTATATCTTTAACTAATAATAATCTCCTGGAGTAATCAGACAATACTGAACTGTAACGTGTGGCCCTTATGAGAAAGTCTTCAAATCTCTCTCCTTGACGCATTATTCTATCTAAGTACAAAGAACATATATTGGTTGATGATGTGTTATTATTATTATTTTTATTATTATTATTATTATTATTTATATTCGTTTAAGCATTCTAAAACTCACTGTTTTCATCTATAATTTGATCCATTGGTGTAATCCACTCCACAACATCAAACTTATTGTCCTTGGCAATCACTTTAAAAGCCTCTGTCTTGCCACAGCCAGAAGGCCCAGAAATTACTAAAAGACTTGGCTGTCCATGTTTCACCTTTTCCTGAAACCATTTAGAGATTTCCCCCTGCTTTTGTCTACTGATAGCCAATTCAGCTGGCTTTTTTGGTGCACAGGCAGCCAACAAAGCTGCTAAATTGTGACATGGTTTCTTTTTGTATGAAACACTTGTATTAAAACTGTCAAAATCCTCTAGCTTTTCATCTTTGATTGCTTGGTATGTGGTTTTTTTGTTGGGCACAAATTCACAATGCTCATCAACATCAAATGATGACTGTAACCAGCTACTCACAGTTCTCTGAAATGGCAAAAATTTGTTAACTTGATTGTTGATATGTTTTTCAAGTACTTACTCCTAAATAACAAAAAGATAAAAAGAATTTTTTTTTTTTTTATGTTATAACCTGAAATTCTGTTTGAAAGTCGTACGAACCTTTGGTCGAGACATTACTATCAATGACTTGAATTGAAACGAAATGTTCAGTCAATCTGTATAAAAATCTGCATTTTGTGGTTAATGACAGAAAGTAAACATAAAATGTGTACTTCAATAAATTTCATACGATCAAAACTTGCAAAAGGTGCCGGCAGAAATTAAGCAAACAAATGGCCAAAACAACCACGGTTAAATAAGTTTGAAAATAAACTGTATGGTATAAAAAAGGTTACTTGGATGTTTTTCAATTACTCAATTAGTACTCCACGATTATAACGAATAATTCTTTTGCAAAATTCAGAGCGAACGACAAAGTAAGTTTAAAATTGATGGGTATCAGTGCGGATACTGCAGATCAGAGAGGATCACGCTCTCCCTTTCTCTCAAAGTTTGTACCTATAGTACCTACCATGGTATTTAAAATATACTAATAATACATATGCAGATGCATGACACAAAAGTTATTCAGTTTTTTACACATTTTAAGACATTTGAAATCAAAAATTATATTCGTCGAGAGTTTTTTTCAGAATTTGAATTTTTCCGCGCGCCCAGTGGAATGAGTATAGGTTTGTTCACGTCACGTCTCAGACCCGCAGATTTGTTCGGTTCGCGTTCGGTTCCACAAAACTAGATGTTATTGCGAACAAACTTATATAATAGTTCGAGCGTTCGTCTGCTTGGACTTGGACGTGGCTTGGACGTTGGACGTTGAATAGTTTTTGGACTTTTTTGTTGTTAACTGCGTACATATTATTTATATGAATGTTCGGGTGTATATAAATCAAGTAGTAGATAATTGTTGAGTTTACAAAAATTATAGCGAGGAATAAAGAGAGAAAATTAGTTCCACATGATAAAAAATTACTCGCAGTCCTTATCTTCCAGTCATCGCTCGTGCTCTCATCGTCGGCTCGTTGTTCATCTACTTAATAGGCACACCAGCTTTTTTTGGACGTGAAACAGAGACGAGGTAAGTAAAATCAACTCAATAATTAATATATGTTAATGGAATAAGTGGCCGAAATACGTAGCCGCTAAATTGTTTATAAATCGGTGATGTGTACTACGGTTAATACATGTGTGCGAGAGCGACCGTCGGTTCGCGTATATCGGTATCGTTGGATCTAACTTGTACTTTCTCTGAGAGATCATCGCTGTCGATGAAATAATAAAACAAAAAGCCAGATTATTAAGATCATCAAAAAAGCGGCGGGGTATCGTATTCGAGGTTAATATAGAACGTCAGCATCCTTGAGTCGCAGTTGTGAGCTTGTGAGTTGTGTGGGGTGGTGGTCACGTGGCTCTGGTAATACTTTCTCTGCAGTTTTAACTCAGTCTTCAAGTTCAAGATTCAAGATTAGTGTATACGTATATATAAAGTATGAGGTGGTGTAGAGAGTAAGGCTGCGGTGTGCGGTTAATTATTAGGTATTCTATCAAACATTATCGGCGAATACCGGAGTCGTCGTCCACAGTCTGCACCCGTAGGTCGCACTCGCCACGTTATCCCTGTATTTACACACCGGTCAGTCTGCGTATGTATTACATTTTTGTAAAATTTTATTTGTCCCAATTCGTAATACGTACTTTTAGCTCGCTTTTAGCTCTACAGTTTTTTTTTTTTTTTTTTTTTTTTTGTTACACTTCTCTGTCAGGTAAGATTTTTTTTTTTTCATTGCGCCCCCCCACTAAATTTTAAACTTTTTTTAGGACTTAATACAGGAAGGGTTCGTTATTTATTTTTTCTTTCAATTATACAAAGATAAGGTATGCACAACCTACAGTGGTTTTTATATTTTTAAGAAAATATTTCGTTTGTGTTGAGCATATTTAGATATATACTTTGATTAATGTGCCATACAAAATACGACACTGCATGCGAATGCGACACATGAGAAAATAAATATCTATTTATGCGTAATTGATTACTTGAGCCCATATATATATTCAACGCAAGAGTATGTGAATGTGTTACGTACAACCGGTGCAACAGTTGATTTTTTTTTGCTCACACTGTGTTGATGAAAACTGCAGCTTCGCCGATTTGCTTGCGTCTGTGCCACATATTATATACGTATAGAAGTATCATTTGTACGAGCTGGTCAATCAACAATATGTCAGGCTGCCGTACTGCTTTTCAAGTGACAATTTTTTTTTTTTTTTTTTTCACAATAAAATCGACCATATTCAAAATATACAGTAATTGCGCCCTAGATCCCCGAAATGTCGGCCTCGATTCGTCGTATCAATACTCGATTAGATAACGACATGCAGGTCAGCTGTGCACACTTAGTCTCAAGTTTATTACGTGGTTCAGCTAATTATCGAGATGACCTTTTCAAAGGTTTTTTTATTTTCTTTGGCCTATTTGGGGAGAGAAAAAAAAAAAAAGAAAGAAAAAAATTATTTTGGCTTCGTGTCGGGCGAACGACAAGTGAAATTATTTCACTATAGTTTGGAGTTTGCTCAAATTGTTGAATAATGCAGTTACGTTCAAAGTTCAGGGTATAGAATCGTTAATATTCTCTTCTCCGAGTGACACAATTTCAACACTCGGCTCGGTAAGAAAGAAGAAAAATACATTTATTGTATAGTATGTATATTCGTTTTAATATATCCGCTTGAATTTAAAAGTCCACGCAGCGATTGATTAATATTAATTAAGTATAGCTGCTCATTAGTTGGTTAATGCCAAAGTGACGGTGTTCAGGCATGAGTTTGCGTTATTTCAATAATATTTCATTTCTCGAATCAGACAAAGTTGTACTTTTTTTTTCAGAATCCGTTCCAAAACCATTAAATCGTTATTTCGTTGAAACGGGCATTTTCATCCAATAAAACTCTCGTCTTCATTTGAAATGAAAATCTTGGTGTGACGTGGGTCTTTTCTATCTCTCCTTTTCATTCCTTGCGCACATACGATTTTCGCATAGTTCAACGACAGTGCACTCGATCATTTTTAATTTTTCGCAATCGATTCGCACAAATGTGCATTCATGCGCTGGTTAACTTCTCGTTGTTGTCGTCATTTCAATATTTGCATGTCACTTACACGTGTGTACTGGAGGCTGTTCCTCTCTTTAAACGATAAAATAACGATAAAAAATTTCATCACCTATCACATTACGAATGGTGCGAGAGTGTTTTATGTGTTGGTATAGTCGGGTTTTCATACCAGCTCGAACAATATTTATCCAAATTTGATGGATAAAAACATGCTTGTTAATGTACGTCCTAGTTTGCACTCAGAAATGTTTTGTTAATGCCAACAACTGGGAAATTAAAGATTTGTCGCTCGAAGCGCTGTTTCCTTCCTTCCGCCTGAGATTTTATTCCCAATCTTCGCGATTGGTTTCCTTACCCGTAACAGGTCGCTTTGGGTATAGGTGCACGACTTTTTAGGGGTAATGAAGGAAAAGGGTACTATGGATTAATATTGAGTTAGACCAGGGGTCATGTGCATGGGTTGATTGATTAGGTAATGAAAGATGAGGCAAGGGGCTAATACCCTCCGTAATGATCAGTAAGTGGGTTTCCGTTAAAATCACTCAATTTATGTACGAATAGCACAATACCAACAACAACAAAATTGTACGAACAACACAACTTTGAAGACCTCAAGAAATAGCACTACTTTTTTTTTTTTTTTTTTTATCGCGCGCTTTACTCTATACGACGTTGTCCTAAAGTCATCGATTAAAATTTATCAAAAATTACTTGCACTCTAAACTGTATACACGTTTTTAATTTGATATTTTATCTTAATTATTCTTATTCTATCGAGCATTTTAAAAAAATTTTAAACGAAATGTAAATGTTTCGTATCGGCACGCATATTCTGATTTATTGATTAATTCTTTGAATGAAAATTATTAAAATAAATTAAAAATGAAATAGATTAATATGTTAACCATTAAATCCTGAGAATAAGCATTTAAACAATATGCACATATTTATTCAAACGTACAATATGTTTTTTTAACGTACTCACATAATTGACGTGAAAACTAATAATCCATCACTTAAAACCCTCGAATACGTACGTAGCCTATACGTGAGATGGGTAAAAGTATTATTTAATTATAATTTTTAGTATCACATCGTAATAAAATCATCCGGTTGAATATTACATTCAAATGGAAACAAAAAAATTGATGACCAACCAGTGAAAAGTATTTGGGAACAGACAAATTGGTATTCATTCGTGATCAATGGCCAGAGCTCATGCAAGCTCTCGTGCACGCGTTTTTGGTTTTTCCCCATTATTCTTTTAAAATATTGTATACCTTTATGTTGGTGTGCGTGCATAAGCGAGTGCAGAAAAGCTTGGACGCCCAAGTCATATACGTTTGCGTGAGGCCCGGTCGCAACATATAAAAGACATCATAAAAAAAAAAAAAAAAAAAAAAATAAATGGTACTTTTAATCACGGACTGTAGAGGCCGGAACGCAGGTATAGTACCGCCGAGGGAGGGTAAAATTATGAATATTAGAATGGATTCACCGGTGAAAGTTGCATGTGCAGGTATGCGCATACGAATTGTTTTAACCCCTTACCCCTCGAACTTTTCGTCATTTTACATATTCAAATGGAAAATCCCGTGCTGTGCTCGAATGTCGTAGAAAAAAAAAAAAAAAAAAAAAAAAAAAAAAAAAAAAAAAAAAAAAAAAAAAAAAAAA